TATATATATATATATATATAAGCCAAATTATGACTTGTGAACAAATCATTTCAAATGTGTAAATGTAAACAAAATCCACACAAAACATCTAATTCACCAATATACAGTATATCTGATGCACGCACAAATAGTTCTTGTTTTAAATAAATATAATAGAAATCTACAAATATAAAGTGTATCTAATCTCATTTTAAACTCTAACTAAAAGTTGTCTTATTGTATTTGAATCATGCTTAAACTATTTTGATGAAAACAAATACCAGTCAACAAACTGCAGTACAGGTCCTTTCATAATATGTTTGCAAGTGTTACAGAAATGGTTCAACCTGAATGCTCAGCAGCCAATGGGAAGCAAGGACACTGACCTCTCTGAACATCCATGTCTTTTCTTGTAAATACTATGTACACTATAACATCAATGTGTGATCTACACGCTGTCTGGTCCCAGTGAGTGAGGGCTGGATGTGTGTGTATGCTTTACTTGCGTTTGAACCGGTCACAGAGGGCATCAACACACTGAGCCAGAGTGGACGGTTCCACTCCGTCCTGTGGCTGCTTCTCCTTGTCGGTCTCCTCTGCAGCCACAGAAGGGAGCTGCTCGATGGAGGTGGATGTGGGGACGATGACGGTGTTAGGACTCTTCCCTGCTAACAGATCCTGGTAGATCACCAGCACGCTGTCCAGGAACTCTACAGACACGGGGATTAAATACTGTTTTATTCAGTCTTTGTATGGAAATGGGATTAGACTGTTAACACTGCACACATCATAACTTCGATATCAGATATACATTTGATATGACTCTATATGGCTCACTTCTGATGAGATGATTCCTCACACGCTAACGGTAGATAAAAGGTAGCTTTTATTATTTTCATATCAGATATCTGAACTTAGAAATCCTTCCAGTGGGCAAGAGTTTTCTCTTTGTCAGACAGATTTACCCCATAATGGACTAAACAACAATCAATCCATCATGAAAATATGAAACATTTGTATAACATACCTCTTACTGTAGAGAATAAAACGCAAAGATTATATTGAGTAAGAGTTTAAACAAATGCAAATCATTAAAGGGACAGTTCACCCCAAAATAAAAACGACATATTTTTCCTCTTACCTGAAAAAAACAAAAAAACATCTAGATTGAGAAATAGCACTATTTATCAATCTAGATGTTTTTCTGTTGACCTCTGCCCTTCCCAAAGCTGAGCTTTGACTGACGTCGTTTCATTTTCATCCGTCTCAGTGAAGATTTTAAACACATGCAGGCGATACAGGCTGGAAGTGAAGCTGACGAGCAGACATCACTGTTCAACGTAGCGCTACTGAAGGCATTAGACTACAAGCAGTCCACTAGGTGAACCTCAAGCTGTTGATATAATCAAAGAACCAACGTGTTGAGTAAAGACTTTAAAGTAACAACAAGATCATCCACTTCACCACATCACCCCCCGCCTTCCCTCACACACACACAAACAATGACGGCGATGAGATACATTAGGTCGTAATCTTGGGGTCGTGCAACATCTCTGCAATAGTTAGGACCTCAGTGACCTACACAGCCATGGTTTTGGTGTGAGATGCCAAGTGTTGGAGGTATCGTCCATAGAGACGTCTCCCTTCTCTCCAACATAATGTGACTAGTTGGCACTCGGCTGGTGGTGTTCAAAGCGCCAAATAAGTACATTTACAAATTCAACAGTGAAGTCACTTTCTATAAATCACAACCCGGTTACTCAAGATAATCCTCAGACCTTGTGAGCAGTTTCATAGGAGCTATAGTGCACTGTTGGAGAGAGATGGAGAGTCTGTTGGACATTGGAGAGCAGGGAAACGTCTCTATGGATGATATCTCCAACACTTGGCATCTCACACCAAATCTATCTACGGTATCTAGATAAATAGAACTACAGGTAAGAGGCAAAATATGTAGTTCTTCATTTTGGGGTGAACTGTCCCTTTAACACACCCACGTTTGTAAAGGTTACAGCCAAACTGAGTGAAGTGAATGTATAAGCCTGGACATACTGAACAGAGCCATATGAAACAGTAGCTTTTATTGTACCTGGGTAGTAGAACTGCAGCTGGAGGGCATAGAGGAAATCAGAAAAAGACATCAGACAGTCTATGACATCGTCCATCAGAACAATTCTACAGGACAAGAAAAGAAAAGCAGACAACAGTTTATTCCAGATAAATCCAGGGGTGAACTGGTCATCAAGGGACCCGACTATCCCAGTAACATGTCAGTATGCAACACAATGAACTGCATTTAACATAGAAGAAAAGGCTCTGCACCCAATGACTGATTGCATTATATCTTCTTGTTAGGTCTGTTGTAACATATACAGTAGCATTCACATGTGCAGTATACACAATCTACACTAAACAAAAATAGAAACATAATAAAAGACGGATGTGACTAAAAGATGCATTTCTGTAGCAGCAGTCATGTCAAATCCATAGCTCAGAGAGCCTAATAAATGTTGTATTAAGATAAAACTGCATATGCTACAGTGGCCTATTATTGGGACCAGCCCAAGTGACACCTGTGTGAAAATCAGCAACACACATTTGTGCACAAAATTTGAGAGAAATATCCATTTTGCGAGTATAGAAAAGGTCTTAGATCTTTCAGTTAAACTGATACTGAAGTACTGCATTTATATTTTTGTTTCGTGTAACTACAAAATAATGACTACACTGTACTTTAATACTAATTTAGTGGCCATCCTTTTTACTCTACCGCATGTGCCTCATACTAATTGTTAGAGTAAACTGAAAAGGGCACATTTTCCCAGCATGCAACATTAGTGTTGTGGTAACCAAACAAACAAAGGTGTGACCTCTTTGGATCGGGGAACAACAGCACAAAGAAATAATACAATGTGTATGTGTTGTCTGAGGTGCGTCTGTGTACTGACCTGGCTGCACTCTGCACCATCGCCAAAGGGAAGTCTGGACACAATAACTGCAGCAGCGACCTGTACTCCAGCACGGACAGTGAGTCTGGAATACAACTCAATATAGTTACAGAACAGCAGTGATGCATTCATTTCAATGTTAAAGACAGTCAAACCAACCAAGTCAGGTCTAGTGGGTTTTACACATCAATGAATTATTCAGATTTGAATACTTCCTTATGTAATAACATAAACGTAGCCTTATATAGAGAAAGGGGCAATTATTGAATGACTATGACAATCAAACTATAATCCCAACAGAAGAAGTGTGTGGCTCTCACTCACCTCCGCTCTTGCCGATCTGTCTGTAGCATCTCCAGAAGACTCTGATGAAGGAGGCTCTGTTATGGGGAGTGGCCCTGATGTAGTTATATTCTCTGAAGAGGATGTGGTTACTGTTCTTCACACTGCTGAAACTACACACATGCACACACACACACACACACACACACACAGCAATTAAACCAAACAAGAAGTCCACCTCAACATTCATGTAATCAGTTAGATCAAAAAGAAACACAAGATGCACTAAATTGTGTTTATTCCACCCACTCTCTAAGCTAGGATGACAGTGTTGTAAAACAAAATGTGATCTAGTTCAGTAGACTTCTCACCGTTTAGATTACATACGACACATGAAAGCAGAACAGCGTGAAAGACGAGTATGCATCACATTTACAGTGTTTTAATGTACAAACGTATATTATTAATTAAACACATTATAACACTAGCTTAGTATACATTTCCTACAAAAGAAACCAGCAACTACAATAGCAATTGATTGACTGTGACTATACTGTACACCTAATAATAGATAAAAGGCACTGGGGAAGTTTGCAAATTGTAGTGAATTCCAGTTTCCTTATATTCTGTAATTTTCCAATATTATCTTTGAGGAGATTCGCCCTCCCAAACCCTACATCAGTCCAAACTATTGCCCAGGTCAGAGGAACTAGGCAACTATTAGACTGACTGTGTGATGGGTGTGACATACTATTCAGCAAAGTAGCGGATCACCCCAAACTGGGTGTACTCCTCTTTGTGTTCCAGCAGCTGGGTTACTGCATCACTCAGGTAGAACAACACGTTACTGTCCGCTGAGAGGAAACAGACACAGAGCGACGATTAGATAGATCACGACTGCAGAGTACACAAGTATACAGCTAAAGAGCTCAGCTGTTAGCACTGCAAAGCTAACACACATCCTACCGAGGTACTCGTCATCTGGGACGGTGGAATTAAAGCGGTTCATTCTGGTCATGCTTTCAGGAGAGGACGTTGAAATGAACATTAATACACTTGAGGTAAATGTAGCTGTACACAGTTAAAAGCAATGCCACCTCTGTAGCATCCATCATAGCGCCATCATAGCACCGACCATCCGTCGCGTGGATGTGACCCTAATATGGTGGGCTGGGGCTTCCATGGAAACACCAGGATGTTGTGAGTTACATTAATGAAATGCCCCCAAGCAACATAGCACACAAAGGTTCCATTGCTATTTTCGACATAATAATAATAATCGTCATAATTTTTATTTATACTAGCAGTATTTTTATTGTTATTACTCGCTATATTATCCATCGCCGTTGTTTGCACTTTTATCGCTTTTAGCACCATTAGCACCATTAGCTGTGAGTCGTTTTACAGTTTTAATTGCACCTTTGCTGTACAAGGAAGTCCCAATATCCGGTTACTGCTTTTCATATTCTATTGTTAATTTTTATATTCTTATTTTTAGTTATATCTTTAAACTAGTCAGATTTCTCTTTTGTGTCATCATACTTGCCAATAAACCGTTTCTGATTATTTGTCTTCTTAAGTTTGTGTTTCTATGGTCAGTACTCGATAACTTGCCTTTTATACAGCCTATGTTGTATCCAATATTCCCATAGTCAATATTTAGTCTAGTTGTGTTGTTTCTGGACTTCAGAGAGGATTAAAGTAACGGTAATTGCATCACCTCTCAAAGTGATTTAGGTTTGTTTGCAAGATTTTGTGTCTTTCTTAAGTATTGCAGTACTTGTCTTTGAAGCAAACCCATACTTGATTCTGTTTTGCAGCTCAACATGGAGTTCAATCCCCACTAACCGTAGGACACTATTTGTCTCTGCATTCTGTCCTCACTGTCCCTTTTAGTGCTGTTCTCCTGCATGCTTACCACTCTACTTTAGTCACAGTGCTACAGTCCGTTGCTTTAAATAAAAAAAACATCACAGAAACAACATAAAACCATCATAACACATATAGTAAGAGACATTCGACATTGACAACACGGAAGATTAGAGTGCTAAATGCCCAAGTGCTAAATTGCTTCGATATGTATTGCATATTGCTCACAAATTATGTCAATGCAAAGGCAATGCATGAAATTAACAAATGATGGCGAGATTTTCGTAGTTACAGGAAGGGCTTAATTTCAGAGCTGCCAATCAAATTTTTACCAAGGATAAGGACGCGTGATGGTCCAATCAGCAAAGAGATGTTATACCTTGGGGGCGGGCCGTAATTCAAATACAACCAATCAATGGCGTTGTCCAGTGACGAATAACAAATCCGCTAATTGCTAAACTGTATAAACCGTGAATCCAGCTTCATGTGGGGGTGTACAGGGGTTTCCTATTCTGTGTTTTATTCTTCATGCAGTGAGACTGCATACAACATCTGGATTAAGGATTAAATAGAGGAGGATGTAGTGTTAGTCCGTCAGGGTGGTGTCCCTGTCTCCGCCCCTCTTCTGTCTCTCCGCCCGTGAAGGCGTTTCAAAAAACGGCAACAAGTTAGACACAGGCAGCAGTGACTGGAACGGAAATTGGTGTTCGTTTGTATTTAATATAAGAGTGTAAAATGTCTCAGTTGCAGAGAAAGACATGATCAAATTAAATTCGTTTCTGCTATTTTGATTTACTCAAGGCGTTTACTACTGCACAATATAGGTCAATTAATTAGGTACACTGTATTGAGCAAGAAACGTTGTCTGTCAGTTTTATTTAGAACCGGAAGTGATTTGTCTTCTGGGTGGCACTGGCAAAGCTTGTATAAAGCTCGGCTGGGCTTCTCTCTAGTGATACCATTATCGCCCTCATCTAACTGGACAGCCAGCATCTCATTGTCCTCTAGAGACATAACAGGTATGTCAGTGATGTACGAATGTTTGCTTATTTTGGTTAAAACGTGGGTTTTGCTCTGAGCTAGAATGCTAGGCTGTTGTGTTCAGCATCTGTCGTTGTGAACTGCGTTGTTAGGCCTGGCTGTGGAAGGCGCTTGTGGAAGGTTACCGCTAGCTCATAGCCTTGTTTCTAAGCAGCTAACGGCGGCTACCCACCGCTAGCAAACTATAAAGTCTTCCTATGAGCATCTGCTGGACCAATATATTTACACCAAATACGCTAACGAGCCACATACTGGTCGTCAATGTGAGCTGCGTGTAGTTAAGCTGTAGAGGCGTTATCCAGAATGAGCGGGGTGACGTGCTAATGTGGCAACTGTCACAGTCGTTGCTAACTTCGCCAGTTAATGGCGCTCATATGACTTGCTAGTAGTATACGACAGCTAGATAATATGGGGACCACTCCTAGTCTGAGCAAACTGAGAATAGCGTTGGGAACAACCAGTTAAGTGGTTGGCTAAGTTAGATGATAGCCCAGTTTGCAAACGGCTGCTAATCTAATTGATTATGACTGGCTGTATTTGATGGTCTAGTTTTGAAATGCCCGTCCTACTCGACTCCCTGTTCATTCTAGTATGCACATTAAACTAGCAATGTTTTAATAGGGCTAGGTGCTCTTTGCATCCAGAGGTCTGCTATAATGTTTGTGTCACACATTATTAGCCATTGTTGTGAACTTCTACGGATACCGGCTCAATATGCCCATACAGTATTAACACAATGAATTGCTAAGCTTGCATTGCTTATGTGTAGGACTGGCTCCAAGCTGACAGTATTTTTGCCGAGATGTTGATGATGTCTTTGGCCTGTTTACCAGAATGGTTTGGATCGATATGAAATATGAACCCATAGCCCTCCCTGAATGTGCATTAGACCATTTCATTCTAATGCTTTCAAGTGGAAGTGAGTGCATATCGGGAGGTGACATTGCAACTGAAGGCATTTCTATGAGTCTGTTTAGTTGACATGTGGATGATCTGTATTAAGCTACACCCCCTTGCAATTTGGAAATTGCAGTAATTGTAGGACAAGTTGACTCTCACCGGTCCTAATTATTGGAGTGTAATAGCTTCTGTGCAGTCCGACTGTTGTTGAATATCCCAAGCAGAGGTGTGAGTGAGGCACTTTTTTTTTTTTTTTTTTTTTTCTTTTTTTCTTTTTTCTTTTTTTTTTTTTTTCCCCCCAAGCTAATTTATCTGATGAAAGTGGTGTTTTCGTTTTCAAGCGGTGGTCTGCTGTCACCAAGATTGTGATACATTTTAGGGCTCACTTATTCCCCCAGCAGCAAGTCACAGATGAAGTACAACAAATGTAATTTTATTTCAATTATTCTGTTTTCCAGTTGAGTACCTTTGGGGAAGCCCACCCCAGAGTGGCCGCCATGGGGGACGATAGCGAGTGGATGAAGCTTCCCACCGATCAGAAATGTGAACACAAGGTGACTGATTCACTGACTAATATTTGTCCTCAATGCAGTTAACTTCAATCTCATTCACTCATTCTATAGACGACCTTTAAAGTCAAATAATGACACGAGATGTTTTTCATATCTCACCCATATACTTTCCCCATCAGTGATAAATACGAGTGAGAATGATGTGTAATGTTCTACTGTTGTGTAGATTTTGAACGCTGGCTCTAGGGGGGGGCGGGGCCAAAAACCACACCTCGGGGGGGGAGGTGACTTCAACGGTCGTCTATAGAATGAGTGAATGAGATTGAAGTTAACTGCA